GAGAATTTAACATGAAACAGTGGCGGACTTTTTTCAGAAGTAAGAATAGATGTAGGACGAACGACAGAGAACTGAGATCGAAGCTTTCAATAATTTCAATCAGTCAGAATGAGTCAGTCCACTGAGATAATAATATTACTACCAAATTACTAATAGCGACAGCAGGCAAAATTCTGATCGATGAAATTCGATGAATCCTTGAGTCTAAACTGATCAATTATTCAAAACGTTTGGTCTCCTTTTTTCGGTCAGGGCAACTAATTGTAAGGTTAGTGATTTGAAAAATCTGCTTAATTTGTATTTAATATTTATTTACTTTAAAGAGATTGTGTTTTCTTCTTGCAATGCATGCTAAATGATGAATGGAACTTTTTTAGCCTTTTGCTGATTCTATTTCCCGTGATTTAGACAGGAACACGTCCGACATCTCATGGGTTTTCTCTGAAGTCATTTTTGAAGTGTATTGACATAGCTGTATGCAGCAATTACAACAGTTATTTTATGGTTCTCTTTGAAGTACTTTGTGCTGTAAGAGAAAGCTTGGTGTCGGCTTATTTTGATAATAATAGATGACTTTGAGTTTGCAATTCTCAAAACTTTTCTCGAAGTGATTCCGTACTATAMATTTGAGGAGGTTTATATTGGCAGGCTAGGACGAATGATGATGCAATTCAGTATTGCGATTTGGTAAAACTGACTTACCTTTACTACTTGACGCTTTGAATTTCCCTGATAAGTTCATCTGTTCTCAATGATTCTCCAGCAATAGAAGGACTGAGTCTTCTTTTGAAAAGTATAGCATTTCCTTGCAGATACAGTGACATGGTTTTGAGATTTGAGCATAACCCTACAGAGCTTYGTCGGATTTTTAACATTGTTTTAGACTTCGTTTAAGAAACAGATAAATTTAGTCCTGGGGCGTCCAGTATTCATCTCCCTCCTCCGGAGAAATTTAGCGGTCCAAACTTATACAACAAGCTTACCGATTTGAAAGGTATGGCATCGCATAATGATGGTGCTTTGCCGCATAGCTCCTAGACCAACCTTAATGAGGTAAATGGTATTCCAAGCTCGGCCAGTCTGTTGACTTCCGCTTTTCGCGCCTGATATCTTGCCTTCGTATGTGTTGACGTGATTTCTAAACATTATCGCAAAGGCATATTTATCACAAATATTATCACAATGAAATAGAACAGGATCGCGTCTTTGAAAACGTGCCGGTCCACGAACTCAAAGTTCTTACTAGTTCTTACGAGATAAAAGAGAATGTACAAAATCGTCCCCTCCCTCCTCCACTCTCACCATTATTTGCCTCTGTAGCTAATTYATGTCAAATATGCAAGAATGCGGTCAACCGAAACTTGTCCGATCTGCCGAAGACAATCGAATATGAATTCATCAACCTGGAAAGTAATTTAGATTTCGATGCAAACTTGGACTTGTCTTGATTKGACTTCGGTATATTGAAACCAAATATCTTTGAGGCTGGAAAAAGAGCCATGGATAAYKTCAAGGACTAACCTCTTTGGAGAACACAATCGTTTTCARAATTTCAAGCGTTTTATACGTGGAAGTACCATTTTATTATTATKATGATTTTGCAATATTTCAAGCGCTTTYAGTGCTATACCTAAACTAAAAATACATGGCTTGCATAATACGTAACACTTTGGAATTCCTACAGCAAAACAAGCATAAATTGAATTAGAATTCCTGAAAATATGAGAGGAATCCAATGTATAGCTGTYGTTTTAATTTATTTTACTTTTGAATGTTTTATTTACACTGYTTTAAAGCGCGTTTTTTAAATCGGCTTTGTAGCGACGGTCTCAGTCGACGGATTTTTGTAATTTTTCAAACATAGAATGCTGATTATYTTTACATTAAGACTTTGGAAATTAAAAGAAATCGATGGACTTTTGCGCGTACAAAAAGGCRAAGAATTTTAAGACCACTGTTTGAATATCGACTTGTGTCGGCAATCGCGGCATCAGATTAAAACCTTAAACACACAATCAGAAGGTTTAAGGATTCAACTATCACATATGTGAAAATCAGAACTATACGAGCATTTTTGATGCGAAGCGAGCGATTTTAAAAAAGGACAAATTTCACTCGCCGTTAGTTGGGAGTAGCCTTAGGAAAATTGACGAAYAGAAATTTTGCGAAGACCTTTGATTGGCTCCCTGGCATGTTGGAGAGATCTTTGACTGTATTGATGATAACTGGTATTATTGGGAATTATTACTTAAAAGTATCATAGATGAGCACGCACCACTTAAACGCAAGAGAGTAAGGGAAAAAGGATGTTACGTGCATAACTAAAGATTGGAAGGATGCAATCAGGAAAAAACGAAAGTACTCTAGGAGGTTTCAAAAAAATCCAACTAGCGAAAATCGCGAAAATAAGAACAAATGGAGGAACACTGCTACTAAACTAAGGAGAAAAGCAATCAAACAATAMTGGAGTAAAGTAACTGATGATCTCAATGCAAAACCAAGTGAGTTTTACAAAACATTCCAGCCCTTTTTGGATAATCGTTCTCAAGATAGCGATAAGCAGATTACTCTTGAAGTAGATGGACACAGCATCAATGATCAGGCGATTCCTTCATAAATTACTTCACTTCTGTAGCAAATGGGATAGGAAACACTCAATTACTGAGCCTATCAGAGGAACAGTTCAAAAGTCACGAAAGTATYCTTAAAATCGAAAGCAACAATAACATAGTACACGGCCMTAAACTGGAAATTGCAAAACTGCAATGTGGGGAAGTACAAAAAGGCTTGAGTGAGCTCAACCTGAAARAAGGAGTTGGACATGACAAAATACCTAACATGGTCTTAAAGTTAGGGTGTAATGAGCTTGCACCTTCATTAACGACAATCTACAATAAATGTATAGATGAGAGTTACTGGCCTAATGAATGGAAGAAAGGAGAATGGGTACCAGTATTTAAAAAAGGATAATATTTCTGATATCAAAAACTATAGACCAATCACGTTATTACCAACCTGTGASAAGGTTTTTGAACAATTATTAAGTGATCAAGTAACAGCCTTTATGGATCAACGACTCAGCAACAATTAATCGCACGGCATACCGCAAAAAGCACAGCACAGAAACTACTCTCATTAACATTGMAGAACAATGGAAACACGCGATTGACAATATAAATATGGTGGGAGTACTATCTACTGATATGTCTAAGGCGTTTGACTCATTACACCCTCCTCTGCTGTTAAATAAATTAAAGGCTTACGGGTTTTCGGATCGATCTATCAAACTTATACGTTCGTAATTCACAAACAGACAATACCGAGTGAAAATGGACGAAGGTTGTACAAGTGAATGGAAAGGGGATGCCCTCAGGGGTCGACATTTGGACCACTGCTGTGGAACATTTTTCAAAATGACCTTACTTATGATATGAATAAAAGCAAATTATCAATGTATGCAGATGATCATCAGATTTATGCAG